AATACTTTATCATATTTGTCAAAACTTAGTTGGTCATATTTGTGTGAATCTATTTCTGTGTTCCTGTCATGGTTTGAATTATGTCCCCCCAAAAATGTGTGTATCAATTTGGCTAGGCCATGATTCCTGGTACTGTGTGATTTTCCTGTATGTTGTAAACCTGCCTTTATGATGTTAATGAGGGAGCATGGGCGGCAGTTGTGTTAGTAAGGCAGGACCTGATCTACAAGACTGGATTGTGTCCTGAGGCAATCTCTTGAGATATAAAAGACAGAAGTGAGCAGTGAGACAGGGGGACCTCATACCATCAAGAAAGCAGTGCCGGGAGCAGAGCGCGTCCTTTGGACTGGGTCCCTGTGCAGCGAAGCTCCTAGTCCGGGGGAACACTGAAGAGAAGAAGCCCGACAAAGAGGAAAAAGCCTTCCCCTGGAGCTGATGCCCTGAATTTGGACTTTTAGCCTACTTTGACTGTGAGGAAATAAAGTTCTCTTCGTTAAAACCATCCACTTGTGGTATTTCTGTTATAGCAGCACTAGATGACTAAGACAGTTCCCTATTCTGTTGCATTGATTTTGTGTCTCTCCCTTCACCAGTACCACACAGTTTTGATTACTGTAGTTATATAATATGTCTTGAAATCTGGTAAATTGATACTTTCCACTTTATTTTTTTTCCAAATGACTTTAGCTATGTTAGTGCCTTTGCTATTCCATATAAATTTTAGAATAACCTTAGCTATATCTACAAAAAATCTTGCTGAGATTAATAGGAATTGCATTAACCCTCTTTATCAACTTGGAGAGAATTGACATGTTTACTATGCTGAGTCATCTAATCCATGATCACAGTATGTCTCTCCATTTATTTAGATCTTCTTTGATTTCTTTCATCAACATGGTGTAGTTTTCAACATACAAGTCCTGTACATATTTTATATTTTATACCTAATTAGTTCATTTTTATTTTGAGCAGTTATAAACAGTAATTTTTACTGGTGTCCACATGTTCATTGTTAATATATAGAGATACAGTATATTTTTGTATCTTTATTTGTATCCTGTGACTATGCTAAACTCAGTTATTAGTTATAGGAATTTTTTGTAGATTCTTTAGGATTCTCTATGTAGACAACTGCGTCATCTGCAAATAGGGACAGTTTTATTTCTTCCTTTTCAATCTATATGCCTTTTATTTCTTTTTCTTGCCTTATTGCACTGGCTAGAACTTTCAAGCACTGTGCTGAAGAGGAGTGGTAGGAACAGACATCTTGTCTTTTTCCCAATCTTAGATGTAAAGCATTCTGTCTTTCACCGTTAAGTATAATGTTAGCTGTGTGTTGTTCATAGATGCTCTTTATCAAGTTGAAGAATTTCTCCTCTATTTCTGTGAGTTTTTATGATGAATGGATGTTGAATTTTGTTAAAATGGTTTTTCTGCGTTGATTTTTCTTCTTTAGCCTGTTAATATAATGGACTGCATTATTTGATTTTTGAATATTGATATAGCTTTAAAACCAGTTGTCTTCAAATCGATTCTAACTCATAGCGACACCCCATGTGTGTCAGAGACTAACTTATGAAGAAAATCTTTCCTTTTATAATTTCATATACTGTATTTGCCACATCCTTTTTTGAAGTATTAGTGCAATGATAAACTTAAAACCCACACTAATTGAAATGAGTTCAGTTTTCTAAGTAGTGATGTCTTCATAATTTTCTTATTTATAAAGGCTCTTTTTGAAAAGTATTGATCGTTATCAGTAGTGTTATATAATTCTGTACGGCCCATATAAAGTCATGTTGGGCTAAATTGCCATTTAACAACAGAATTTAATTCTGAATGGATGCTTGAAAGTTATTGAACATTATAAAACAATTTAAAGTAGATATGAACTGTTTAAAAATTTGTATTCTCATGTATTTGGAGATTACCTGTCCTACTGTTTTTATTGTTACTTCTGTGAGATCCTGAGGAGCCCTCGTGGTGCAGTGGTTAAAGCATTTGAATGCTAACCGAAGGGTCAGTGGTTCAAATCCACCAGCCACTCCTTGGAAACCCTATGGGGCAGTTCTGCTCTCTCCTGTAGGATTGCTATGAGTCAGAATTGACTAGACAGCAGCGGGTTTGGTGTGGTTGGCTATAAGGTCCTGAAAGAGAAGTCAAATTTTAATCTGTCAAATTTATGGATTTTTTAGAAACTTAGATTATATAAGAGAGGAAGGAATTACTAAAATTAATTTGGGGGATTATTTTGAGAGTTGCTTGATTAATCCTAGGGTGCTAGAAAGAACTCAAAGGGTGTAGGTTAGGAAATTAAAGCAAAATATTCTGTGGTAGACTTACAGAATAGATAAGTTCTACTGATTAAATGAAAATAAAAATTTTGTTTCCCAGAGTTTTTCCAATCTTGTATGAAGACAGTAAAAAGAATAGTTGAGAATTTACTGCATTTCAGAACTCAATATCTATTTTATGTACAATACCAGGCAGCATTTCGTTCTGTTGTGCATAAGGTTGCTATGAGTTGGAAATGATTTGATGGCACCTAACAACAACAACAACATGTAAATATTAGAATGAATTTTTTAACTAAAAGTTTTATTTGCATTATTGTTTTCATTTTTATTGTATAGTTTCAAGCAATTGACTGCACTTTCAATGATAATAATATCGAATCCAGTTATGTAATAGAAGTTTGTTTTTTCGAGTCACAAGACTAGGCAAAATTGAAGGAATGAAAGAAAGTATTCATGCCCAGCTAATGATTCAGGCCAATTCTGACATTGATATTGTGTATGAAAGGCACAAACATTGGGCCCTGCCCAGAGACTGAAAAATGCCAATCAGATCTTTGTGTTGTTGCCTTTAAATACAAAAGTGTGTTGTCTTTATCAAGTCAGAATGGTCTCATTCAAGCAAAGAAGAATTTAGTTTAAGTAAAGCTGCTTTCTAATTTAAGTAAACAAATTTTAAAAAATACATATTTTGGAAAGTGATGCAAAATGGTAAAAAGCCTATAAAAATATTATCACTTGTGATTTGGAGAATGAAGAATGGTGGAAGGAACATAACTGAGGAGCATATAAGTAGGAGTTGCCATCATGCAATTTGACAAAGCAACACTTTATAATATTCTTCTACATATAATTGATTTTTATACTTCAGAGAAAGAAGTGATTTAGGTTATCTTTTTTGTTTCAAATTTCTGATTTTGTATATCGTCTTATGGTTCTTATAGTTCTATATTTTCATTTCCTCTGAAACTTTAGACTCATCATTGCCTAATAAAATGTGAGCTTCCTTGGGCTGTCAGTCAAAGCCCTTCGTGCTCAGTCTTTTGTCCCACTGCCTTTTGTGTAGACCGTACTCCATTACATTCACACACACCTACCCTGTATGTTCTTTTATTAAATGTTTCACTCTTCTTGGAATGTACCTACTTTTTCATTTTACATGTCCAAATCTGCCTGCCTTCTGGGAGACCCAGTTCCATGGAGATTTTCTTGAACCCCTAAATCATCTTATACACACACATACACATGGGCACACACACCCACACATGAAATTGCACCATTTATTTTGCTTTCTTGCCACTTTTACCTTTTAGTGGGCCTTTGTCTTTTTTTTTCTCTCTCCTGTTATAGACTAGACCATTTTTTGAATCTTTGTTTCCATTATGTATTGCAGACAACACTGATATCACTGTTACATTCGTTATCATTCTTACTACTCATACTTTACTGTTGAATGGTGGGAAATGCAGAGGTTATTGGGTAAATGCTTAATTAGAGAGCAGGAAACCTGACAGACCCAAGAAGCATAGGGTTTCCAGGTGCTAAGCATGGAACATTATTTGTCTCAATTCGGAACTGATGTGAAGAAGGAAAAACAATCTTCCTCAACACTGGAAAGGTGAAAAGTAAAGCTTATATGTAATACTGATAGTGTGTCAGTTTTGTCTTGTTTTCAACAATGTTGTATATATCATATTCTCTGTTGCCCACTTTTGTCTTCATTTGTCTCCCTTGCACTTCATTTAACTTTGAGATCATTGTAGACTGCATGGAGTTTTGTGTGGTCTGTTAAATGCATATAGCGGAAATGAGGCTTATTTGTTTCTGTCTTACCCATCTTATCTATCCTTTACAGTCTCCTTCCCTAGGATTGGCAATGCTTGATAATTTAGCATTCATTGTGAAAACAGTGATTGTAAAAAATATCTGACACACACACACAACTACTAAGTTGTTATTAAAGGGTTGAACAGAAAATCATTGTATGAATCTTTTTTCCTTTAAGATTCACAGAGACGTCGATGATGTTTCTTAAAACACTTAAAAAATTTATTCTTCATATTTAACCTGAGACTTCTGGAGGTATCTGAGTCAATAAGGAAGACACATTTAGGTATAAAAAACAAGGTGATTATACACACATGGAATCAGGCTGTTGCATTATGGCCAGGGATTGTCTCCATAGCTAATTTTACATCTGATTTAAGGTATTAAATTACAGTCAAGTGTAAAATAGTTGATAAACAGCTTAACATCTGATTTCCTTATCTCCTTGGTGTCAATTGGCGTGTTCTTAGTCAATAAAAATGGAAGATTAAGTCTTCACCAATGAAACAGTGAATCTAAGTGAGGATTATCCTTCACTGCTGTGGAAATTTATAATGAATGGATCAAGCTGACAGTACCTGAACCCAACAAACAACTCCTTCACCTCAAATTTGTATAGAAAGAATAGTGCAATAAACGAGTGTGTACCTACCCTTCACTTACATTTACTAGTTGTTTATATTTTACTCCATTTGCTTTATCTTGGTATGTATGTATGTACTTTCTCCAGTTACATGAGAACAAGTTAATAGATACCACAACATGGCAATTCCCTTCATTAGAATCAATATGACTATAGTATTGAGCCCTTTTTGAATTGCTTGTAAGACTAAAATTTTCCTTTTTTTGTGTGTGTGTGTCTCTTTCTCTCTTTTTAAGGTAATGAGCATGGTGTCAGGATTCGCACCATTAATCTCTGCAGGTATCTTTTCAGCTACTCTTTCTTCTGCATTAGCATCCCTTGTGAGTGCTCCCAAAATATTCCAGGTAAATATGTTCACATTACAAGCTTTATTAAAGGGAGAGTTAAAGTAATATTTTTTCAACTTGCGATTGTTACTATTTTCAAATTATGTTTTGATCATACATATCATCCTTATATATGTATAGGATATGTGCATACACATATATCAAGACAGATATATTTAATTTTGTGTATATGAATGTGAATGTATATTTATATAAAGATTTGTGCACTGACCCACTGTTGCAGTGTTTTCTTTGAGTTGTTTTTTTAAAACTAGTGATGAATTTTTGCCATCTTGCCATTGTAAGCATAAATTTTCAAGATGTATTACCAAGGCTTTGGAGTGCAATCCAAGACCAGAAGAAGTATCTTGTTCCAGTTAGTATGATGCCAGACTAAGTGTTTTATTTCACAAATACTTGAATGCCTAATATGTGAATATGTGGCACAAATTATTAACTACTAAGGGAACAATGTTGAATAAGATAGACATTATCTCCCTTTAAATGAGCATTAAACAGTTGATACTAAATAGGAAATACCTTTAATTACTAAATCAAACAAAGGAAATATTGATTCTTCATCCTTGTTCTTAATGATGTAGTGGGACCCAGTAAATGTAGTGAAAGTCTAAAATATATATTTTTTAAAATAATATTGAGTGATGTTTTCAAAAAAGGGGTTAAGTTTTGTAATTCGGATTTTTATTGGCTTTAAGGCTAGAATTTGTACCTGTATTTCATACCTATGTCATACTTAGCAGACTGCAAGAGGCAATTTTTGTAGGTGAAGCAATGTGAGACAGGAAAGAGGACCAGTAATTAGAAACTTGGAGTCCATTCCTGATTGACGTATTGTAATTGTAAGTAGATTTGTATGTCTAATGTCAGTATATCTTACTTTAATCCTTACATCTCTTCCTTAGGCTCTATGTAAGGACAACATCTACCCAGCTTTCCAGATGTTTGCTAAAGGTTATGGGAAAAACAATGAACCTCTTCGTGGCTACATCTTAACATTCTTAATTGCACTTGGATTCATCCTAATTGGTTAGTCATATAAATGGTGTACAAATGTAGATTTTGATACATTTTTAGTATTAGCTCTAAACATTGAATTATTAAATTATAAATATGATATTACTTTGCCTAGAATACAGTTAGTTTCTTTCTGATCAATACATGTCTGCTAAAATTCTTACCATCACTAAGTCCCCATTAGGGCTAGAGTGAACTCTTAGGTTCTTGCCTTTAAAAGAAATGTGTTAATAGCATAAGGAAAAGGATCCCAGTGTTCTCCACGTAGGTGAAGCCTCCCTAAACTTTTTGTTTCCCTTGGCACTTTGGCCTCTGATCTCAAGCTAATGGGCCTTTGACTGCTAAAGATGACATTGGACATTTAAATTTTAAAGAATTTTGTCTAACCCCTCAGAGTAGTTTACGTTAAAAGTCTGAAAATACCACCAAGTGTTGTGAGGTTGTGTGGAAAGAAACTTTATTGTAATTCTGGTGGGTACATATGGTATATCTACTTTTGAAAAACAATTTGGCAATATTTAGTAGTGTCCCATGATCTAGCAGTTTTATTTTTCACTATATACCTATGGAAACTCTCCATATATGCCCAAAGAGTGTCTACAAAAACATTTCTAGTATCATAAATTTTAGTAGTGAAAAATGTAGAAACAACGTAAATACCTTTCCAAAGAAGAATGAAACTGAGGAATAGTATTCAGGAGTTAAAAATTGAATTATCTTGGTTTTCATACATTAATATGGATAAATCTCAATCAAATTGCAGAATGATATATAGTATGATATTATTCACATAACTTTTAATTAAAACACCCAAAGCAATACCACATAATATTTATGGATTATATAGGTGTGTAGCAAATCAGTGTGTTATGATTGGAAAGAATACATCAACTTTAGAGTAGTGAGGTATAAGGAGATTTCAACTGTAATTAAGGATGGATTTCTGAAAATTAAAGTATATGAAGTATATATGGCAAAATGTAAATATGTATTAAATCTGGATGGTGGGTATAGGGATGTTCATTATGCTGTCATCCAAAAGTTTGAAATATTTAATAATTTTAATAAGTTTAAAAATGTATATGTCATTAAACTGACCTCATGTTTCTTTTGCAGCTGAACTGAATGTTATTGCTCCAATTATCTCTAACTTCTTCCTAGCATCATATGCACTGATCAATTTTTCAGTATTCCATGCATCTCTTGCAAAATCTCCAGGTGATTTTTACATTTTTAAAAATGTTTCAGAAATGTGACAGTGTTTTTGATTTCAGAGAAAAAGCTTCTAACAAAGTTTAAAAGTTGTTATTATGGGATTAGCTTGTTAATGCTTAGTCTGTCTTTACAAGTCAATCACATTGTGTAAGTAAGTCTTCAAAGATCTCTTTATTGTGAAGTTTACCGATAATATTCTGTTTCTTGTCTTCAAAGTACTTAAAAACCTGTTGCCATCGAGTCAATTCTGACTCACAGGTCAGAGTAGAACTGCCCCATAGGGTTTCCAAGGAGTGGCTGGTAGATTCGAACTGCTGACCTTTTGGTTAGCAGCCAGGTCTTAACCACTGTGCATTAATATATGATTCTGACTAACATTGTGAAAAAATCTTTTACTGTTAGTTTTCTCTGAGATTTTTTTTTTTTACTTTTTTTCATTCATTTAGCTGATTTCCATTTAACTGAATTTTTAAAACATTATTATGATATAGTTAATGTTTCCAGAAGCAGCCCTGGTGGCACAGTAGTTAAGTGCTCAACTGGTAACTGAAAGGTTGGCAGTTCGAACCCACTAACTGCTCCACAGGAGAAGGATGTGACAGTCTGCTTTCATAAAGATTTGCAGCCTTGGAAACCCTATGGGGCAGTTCTGCTCTGTCCTGTAGGGTAACTCTGAGTTGGAATCGACTCGACGGCAGTGGGTTTGGTTCGGTATAACCTTTCCAGAGTGTTTTAACACAATGAGTTCTATGGAGTTCTAATACAAGGAGTCTTTATCAACTGAAAAAAGCATAGACGGCTTTTTACATAAAATGTGCTTCAGCTGGAAATCAGGACAGATGAAAAAGGAACAAAAGCACTGTGAAGGCAGAGTGAAAAGACAGAACAGTAAAGATAAAGTATGCGGACTTTGAACACATAAACATTTTAGCTTCAATTACTACTTTAAAAATATAACTTTATTGAAAAGATTTAAAAAATATTTTTGTCTCAAACTACGTATAAGGGGTTCTTTTTAACAAAAATTAAACTATGGTCAAAAGCATATGAATGCTAATTTTCTCTTAGGAAAATTTAAGAATATGATCTTTAAGATTTTTTAGAGTGGGCTTAATTCATAAATATTTACCAAATGATAAGGTAGGTGTTTCTGTAGTCAAGTCTTAGTTTTTCTAGCAAGTGGATGAATTTTTAACTCTTCTCATGAACATTTTGTTTGAACCATTTTGTATGTTCATTAGTATATGGATGTGTCTCATGTTAAACCAAAAAATAAAGCCACACTACTGAGGACTCAGTTGGAAACCTTTCTCCTTTTTAAAACCTTCTCTAGTGTTTATCGTTTACTAGGGTTGGTTGATTTACATTTTTTTTGTAAAGAGTTTAATGAATACAGAACTAGTAAGAGTAACATGGAAATAAATAGAGGTGCCCTCTTTATGGCCATCAAGAATCTTAAAGTGCAGTTGTGATCAGTAATAGTCATTGGCGTTACTGGTGTACGTTAGCCTTACGCTTAATGCTTAAAGCCCTCTTAGTGTGGCAGCCACAAAAAAAGTTATTTTGTACATGCACATGTACCATTATATAAACAGATGAGTCATCTGAGTGATTTTTATGTAATCAATTTGTTGTTATTGTTAGGATGGCGCCCTGCGTTCAAATACTATAACATGTGGATATCACTTATTGGAGCAATTCTTTGTTGCATAGTGATGTTTGTCATCAACTGGTGGGCGGCATTGCTTACATACGTTATAGTCCTTGGGCTGTATATTTATGTTACCTACAAAAAACCAGGTCAGTAGTTTTTTCTATTCAGTATTTCAAGCTAGAAAACTTCTAGAATTTATTACTTTTAATAGTTAAGCATCTTCTTTTGTATATATAGAAAGATAGACTTGTACTTCATATAAAACCTAAAATACTTTATTTCCAGATGCATGCATCTTTAAGGAAATGATTACTTTGAGATATTTTATTCCTGTGTAATTTCATTTTTATCCATACATTTAACTAAATTTTATTTATAGAAAAATAATAAATTCCTATAATTAATATTCTGCACTAATATATTTTAAAATTATTCTTTGAAAGGGTTCCGATTTGTAGTACTATGGGTTATTAGCCTAACAAGCATATATATTACCTACTGTGATCTTAGAACTGTAGTAAGAATCATGAATATGGGACAAGCATGTAAATAGTTAAAGAGTACGTAGTATGTGTTATATTGATAAGTGCTGGGTATCTCCAGGTAAGGGGATGATACTAGGGAATATTAGGATTGATCCAGTATTATAACCATTGTACAGTGTTACACAGACAAAAGATCCAGCAAGAAAGCTGGACCTAATAAAATAGATTGGGAAGAGATTATAAGAGTGTTTGCAAAATAGCAGTTTTCAAAGTAAGGAGATATTTTGTAATCCAGATATGAGAGATGAGGTGTTGTGGATTAGAGTGATGGCTCTAGAAATGGAGTCCACAACGAAGTTATTGTTCTAACCATTTTAGAAGAATTTTTTCTCTAATATGCCTGTTAGTCTCCAAAGTAATAAATGTCTAGAATTAGTTGGTGTCCAAATAGTTTAATAAGAAATAAAATCTGTCTGTTCGAATAACCTGAACAGTTAAGTACTATAAATAGTATAAATAATTAGATTTGCTAATTATGCTATGTCTCTTCCCCTTAGACCTTTGTATGTGTTTATAAACAATAAAAAGCAATTTTTTTTTTCTTTTTTGGTGAAGAACTCTTAGTGAGTTGCATGCACAGCATGTCTGCAGCCTTATCTCAGTCTTTTCTAAATTATACTTTTTATTTAAATGCAATTATAGTAAAATTAACATTGAACTTAATATAATGCTTAGACTTTAACTACTGAAAAGTTCTAAGTACAATAGTTTAATTTAAAAAATTATGAAACCGTTGTTTGACTCTCTGTATGTATCAACTTGGTTATTGATTGGTTCTTAATTTTGTTCTTATACTACATGAGCATTCTCTTCCCACAGATGTGAACTGGGGATCCTCTACACAAGCTCTGACTTACCTGAGTGCATTGCAGCATTCAATTCGTCTTTCTGGAGTAGAAGACCATGTGAAAAACTTCAGGTAAGCAGTAAGGTAACAAAGAGACATTTTCTCCTAGCTGGCAACTAGTTCTTCACTTATTGTTCAGCAACATTTTCATATGCTGATATTTCCTTAAAAAGTTCTCTAAAAGTGTAGAACATTGTTTTTTGTTTTGGCCAGACTTTGTCAATTTAATTATTCAAAAACAAGGTTGATGTTCCTTAATTATCAAAAATTTTCAAAGAGAAAAATGACCTATCTTAGAAAAATATTAGGAGGATTTTGGAAGGTTCACACATGAAGACTTCGAAATGGTGAGTAATAGTAAAGTGAACAGTTTTTTTCCTCCGTGGCTACTGAAATTATGTAACTATGGTGGAGCCCTGGTAGCACGGTGGTTAAGAGCTACGGTAAGCTATGGCTGCTAACCAAAAAGATTGGAAGTTTGGATCCACTAGCCGCTCCTTGGAAACTCAGTGGAGCAGTTCTACTCTGTCCCATAGGGTCACTATGAGTTGAAATCGACTCAATGGCAATGGGTTTGGTTTTTTGTTTTTTAGATATAACTGCTAAATACGAAATTCATAAAAATTTTTGACATACTTTATTTTGTAATTTTACTAAGACACTAAGTATTTTCATGTTGCTTGCTTCTTTCTCATCAGTGACTAACTGGAAACGAGTTATAGTGATGAAGAATCAGTGCCTTAAATTAGTTTATATGATTATTTTTAAAATTTTATTTTGTTGAGACTATGAACAGTAAAACATACACCAATTCAACAATTTCTACATGTACAGTTTGGCAACACTGATTGCATCCTATGAGTTGTGCAGCCATTCTCACCCTACTTTTCTGAGTCGTTCCCCCCATTAACATAAACGCACTGCCTGCTAAGGTTCCTGTCTAATCTCTCAAGTTGCTGTCATCAGTTTGATCCCATATAGATAGCTCTTAAAAGTGCATGCAGTAACCCCCCAATCTGAGGTTTCACTTTCCATGGTTTTACCCAAGGTCCGAAAATGTTAAATGAGTAGCATGACGAAATCCCACGCTGTCCCGCACCGTCCTGCCCAGGGACCACATTCACATAATTTTTATTACAGTATATTGTTACAGTTGTTCTATTTTATTATTAGTTGTGTTAATCTCTTACTATACTTAATTTATAAATTAAACGTTATCATAGGTATGTTTGTATAGGACAAAACAGTATATATAAAGTTTGGTACTATCCAAGGTTTCAGGCATCCTCAGGGGTCTTGGAATGTATCCCCCCATGAATAAAAGAGATTACTGTAATGCTCAAGGCAGACATTTTTTTTACTAGTTAAGCTAAACTATTGTTTGGTTTTGAGAAGACTTGTGGGGATGTTGTTGGCTTAAGTTTTAAAGACTGTCTCAGGGCAGTTGTGTCAGGTTCATCCAGCCTCCATGGCTCCAGAAAGTTTTGGAGTCGATGAGAATTTAAAATTCTGTTCTACATTTTCCCCCTTTTGATCATGATTCTTCTATAGAGATTTTGCTTAAGATGTTCAGTAATGGTAGTGGGCACCATCTAGTTCTACTGGTCCCATGGCAAAGGAGGCAGTTGTTCATGAAGGCAGTTAGCCACACTTTCCATTTCCTCCCCCATTCCTGACTCTCCTTCTTTCTGTGTTGTCCTAGGCAAATAGAGACCAATTGTTGTGCCTTGGATAATGCCTTAAATTAGTTTTGAATTAACTTAACGGTAAAGAGCATTCATTACCTTTTTGCCTCTGTAAATGACCTTAAGTATATATCATCTCTATAATAGTTTACCAGCCATCAATTTAAAACCTATTCCTTAGTCTAATACACTTCTAATAAACGATGAAATTTAATTACTAAAAATACTATTGATTTGTACTTATCTAAACCCAGAAATATTTACTTATATAGATTATTAGAAATTATAGATTATTATTTATACTTAGTTAAAAGTAGACTTTTGTCAGATCATGAGGCTGTCATTCTTAAATTGTTCAAATTAAGTGAACAGGTGACTTTCTGTAATCCTGAGTAATTACCTCTCTTTGGCTTTTGCATTATAAACAAACACATTTGATCCATGTGTGTCAGTAAACCAAAGGGAAAATAATGTTCTTTAAAAGAACTTTGAAGGATGGATTACTTCCAGAAAAGGATTGCTCTACCAAACCTCCCCACTAAGAAAAGTCTTTGTGTATTCTTTTTGTTACTCTCATGGAACTCTCTCTCCCTTTTTTCCTAGAATGAAAAGTTTCCAGAGGCCACAGATCTTCGGCCTTGGGGTAGAGAGAAATAGGCAAGAGAAAAAGGAATGAGAGCCCCTGGAAGGAAGACATTAATTACGGCACAATTTTGATAGTTGATGCCAAGTATGATAGAAAATAGAAATCATTCCTTTACGTAAAAAGTCAATTTGCCACAAATAATATATAAATTAATATGGCTTTGTCTTATTATAGTAATGGGAACATTTTAAACAGTGTTTTATCTCAGTGTGGCTTTCTAATTTTTCTCAGAGTTTTACATGTACATAATTTAAAGAGGAAAAAGTAACCTACAGGGTTTGTCATGAAAATATGTTGTTGCTCCACCCCTCTAATCCCTGTTTCTTCCACACCATGGGCAACCACTTCCAACTCTTACTGATTCTTTCAGTATTTACCTTCATGTTGCCAAACAATGTGCTTATCTTGCTGTACTTTGTGATTTTTAATTCACTATCTCCTGACGTCTTTCACCCGTCTGCCCCGTCCACACACGTGTACTCTCCCCTACCCCCTTCTCCCAGTTTATTTTTATGTATGTCATGATTTTGATTAGATCGTTATTTGGCATTTATATTTTTATGACTTTCTAAACACAATTCACAGCTGTTTTCTGAAGTAAATTATGATTGTTTTTCCTTTCCTGTATAACTTTTTTGTTTTCCCTGGATCTAATAATTATCTTTTTTCATTTTCCTTGTTTAACTTTGTGTTTATCACTGTTTCATCCTTTACCAGACTTGCCAAAAGATACTGTTTTCCTCACCTTGCATAACTTCTACTTCTTTGAAGTTTCTTTCTCATGCTTTCCTGTTTCTTTGAGTTTTTTCATTTAGCCTTGTCTCAATCTCTGTGCTCCTTGGTGATGGAAGATCTGCATCAGAAGGTGGGGCTTGTCAGTTGAAGCCCTTAATGTAGATTAATCTGGCTGTGTTGGTTCTTTGAGGAATTTAAGTCATATTAAAGGCTTTCTTTTTGATCTGATTAGATTTCCCATAAAAGAATCGTCTTATCTTCTGCTTTGTAGGTACTTCTGGCTACCAGAGTTTTGAGAGCCAAGTAGGGGAGGAGTGTGGAGGTTTCACAGTACAGAATATAAATGTCCTCCGGATTCACCTATTTAAAGTAGCTTGCTTTTGCCCTCAGCTATTGCTAATCTCTCCCAGACTAGAGACTGTCTCTAGTGAATAAGCCCCGACTAACAGTTTTGGAAGGGGCCTTGGTGGTACAACAGTTAAGCACTCAGTCACCCAGTAACTCTGTGGGAGAAAGACCTGGCAATCTTTTCCTATAAAGGTTACAGCCAAGAAAACCCTGTGGGACGGCTCTATTCTGTCATATAGGGTCACTATGAGTTGGGATCAACTTGATGGCACCTAACAATAACAGGATTTGGGAAGGATGGTTGCCCATCGTAATAGTAGAAATGATATGGGTATATCTAGTTGCTTCTTATGCAAACTTTCACCCAGTCCTCCTTATTTTAGTTGCTTTAATACACAGCCCTGCTACTTTCAGAGGCACCTGCTGCCACTAACTTCTATACATTTTGATGATTTTAGGTGTAAAATCTGGTAGCTTCATAGGTTTCTCTTATGCTCATTTAAGATTTAGCCTTTTCCTTGACCTACCAAATCATTTACTGTTCTTCAATCGGCTTTCTAGCTTTCAGTATATCAATAGCTAAAAGCAGAGAATACCAGAAAGATATTTACCTGTGTTTTATTGACCGTGGATCATAACAAATTATGGATAACATTGCGAAGAATGTGAATTCCATAACACTTAATTGTGCCCATGAGGAACCTGTACATAGATCAAGAGTCAGTTGTTCAAACAAAACAAGGGGATACTGCCTGGTTTAAAGTCAGGAAAGGTGTGCGTCAGGGTTGTATCCTTTCACCCTATCTATTTAATCTGTATGCTAAGCAAATAATCCGAGAAGCTGGACTATATGAAGAGGAATGAGGCATAAGGATTGGAGAAAATCTCATTAACAACCTACATTATGCGGATGACATAACCTTGCTTGCTGAAAGTGAAGAGGACTTGAAGCACTTACTGATGAGGATCAAAGACCACAGCCTTCAGTATGGATTACACCTCAACATAAAGAAAACAAAAATTCTCGTAACTGGACCAATAAGCAACATCATGATAAATGGAGAAAAAATTGAAGTTGTCAAGGATTTCATTTTATTTGGATCCACAATCAACACCCACGGAAGCCGCAGTCAAGAAATCAAACGATGAATTACGTTGGGCAAATCTGCTGGAAAAGACCTCTTTAAAATGTTGAAGAGCAAAGATGTCACCTTGTAGACTAAGGTGTGCCTGACTCAAGCCATGGTATTTTCAGTCACATCATATGCATGTGAAAGCTGGATAATGATGAATAAGGAAGACTGAAGAAGAATTGATGCCTTTGAATTGTGGTGTTGGCGAAGAATATTGAATATACCATGGATTGCCAGAAGAATGAACAAATCTGTCTTGGAAAGAAGTACAACCAGCATGTTCCTTAGTAGCAAGGATGGCAGGACTACATCTTACATACTTTGGACATGTTATCAGGAGGGATCAGTCCCCGGAGAAGGACATTGTGCTTGGTAAAGTAGAGGGTCAGTGAAAAAGAGGAAGATCCTCGATGAGATAGATTGACACAGTGGCTGCAGCAATGGGCTCAAGTATAGCAACGATTGTGAGCATGGCCCAGGACTGGGCAGTGTTTCATTTGGTAGTACATAGGATCGCTATAAGTCGGAACTGACTTGACAGCACATAACAACAACAACAACATTGTGTCCGCTCTTGTTCTCCCTATTTTTGTGATTGTCTTTAAAAAAGAATCTCATTATACAGTGGCAATTTTTGAGGAAGGAGTTAAAATCAAGGCAAGTGATCCTGCTGCCATATTAATCCAAAGCCATCTCTGACATATCTTGTACTATACCTTTTATCATATAGCAAAACTATACCAAAAATATGCCTTGTGGTATGTTTGCTATTTAGTGAAGATAGGAAATACAAGTTAATTTCCCACGGTAACAGGGTGTATTGGAGTATTGGTTAAACTACTGTAACAACAACACTGAAAAGTAGAGTGGTTCAAACCAGATGGAAATTGATTTATCTCATGTGACAGTTCAGAGGCTGGATGGATGGTTCGTGGTAGGTAGGTAGATTTGTTCCACCTGTTCATTGAGGGCCCACATTCCTTGCATTTTGTCAGTCTGCCATTCCCTAGCACTTCTTGACCATGTGGTCACAGTCAGCACCACCATGTCTGTGGCCTAGCTTACACAAAAGAGCAAGAGTGTAGAGAGCAGCAGCTTCCTTTTTAAAGGGCACGACCTCGAAATAGGACAGTGTCACTTTCAGTTCTAGGAAATGTAATATCTAGCTGGGGAGCCATGTAACCTGCCAAAACTCAGCAAGGCAGACTGGGATATTAAGGACAACTTGCAGTCTTAGCCATAGGGCCTGATTTCACATTTGGTGGCCCAAAGCAACTCTCAGAATTGGTTTTTCAGCCAGTTTTGCTAAATTTCTGAGTTAGTATTCTTTTTTTACTCTGTATTCAGATTGTTTCCTGCTTATTTTATGAGTATAATTAGAAACTATCATAACAGTTAATTTAATGTTTATGCCAGAATTTTTAGTCTTCTTTTTGCTTTCTGTTAAAGTTTATTTTGATTATTCAAATTTTCAATGTAAAGAATTTTTGATAACCTGTTTGGACTTACAGAATAGATTTCTGAGGCTCCCCCTGCCCCCCCCTTAAAACAAAACTGATTTCTCCTTCTTGTCAGCAAAAATCAGAAGTTAGGAAAATAATATGAAAGTCATGCTGCCATTTGTTTGCGAAGGCAGTTGAGTTCGATTTTGGCTTCTACCATTGTTAATTAGAAGTTCAACTTTTAGTTCAAATAGAAACCTTTCTTCACCATAGGTGGTTTTACTCATGTGACAGTAGTCATTAAAATTAAACTAGATTAGAGATGGCTGATATCACAAAGTAGAAGTAATTGCAATGTTATCAAGCTAAGAAGTGAAGTGACCTGCTTTGGACATGAAAGGCAAGGCCATGTTTTCAGGAAGTTTTGCAAGTTTTCTGAAAGAACTGAATTATTATCTTTAGAAGATTAAAAGTTGTTGCATAGTTTTAAAATAGCATGGTAATTTCCTTCTGTAATACCTACCAGAATCTTGATTTATAATATTAACCTTTTTTTAAAAAAATAATTTTATTGTGCTTAAGGTGAAAGTTAACAGTGCAAGTTAGTTTCTCATTAAGAAATTTATGCACAGATTGTTTTGTGACATGGGTTATAATCCTCACAATGTGACAGTACCCCACCTTTTCACCCCGAGTTCCCCATGTCCATTTGTCCAGTTTTCCTATCGCTTCCTGCCTTCTCATCTTGCTTTTGGGCAGGAGTTGACCAATTGGTCTCGTATATTTGACTGAACTAAGAAGCACACTCCTCACACGTATTATTGTTTGTTTTACAGGCCTGTTTAATCTTTGTCTGAAAAGTGGGCTTTGGGAGTAGCTTCAGTACTGAGTTAGCAGGGTGTCCAGGGGCTATAGTCACAAGGATTCCTCTAGTCTCTGTCAGACCAGTAAGTGTGGTCTTTTATTGTGAATTTGAATTTTGTTTTACATTTTTCCCCCACTCTGCCCAGGACTTTGTATTGCGATCCTTGTCAGAACGGTTGGTGGTGGTAGCTGGGCACCATCTAGTTCTTCTGGAGCCAGGCTGGTGGAGGCTGTGGTTATGTGGTCCTTTAGTTTACCTATCATTTTAAAGGGACATTTGGCAAGGTGTTTGTTCCAAGGAGGTTTTGTTTCTGCATTTCTCATGCACTGAGAAGGCCTGGTTAAAAGTCGTCTTTTCCAGTGAGAATCCTGTGACCTGTGTAGTGAGGACAATTTCATAAAGAAGGTTCTAGTGTAATTCTTTATATTTAGAGAAATAACTTGAGATTGTGTTCTTGTTACAAAAAACCCAAGCTTCTCTAATTTTGTTTTTTCTTTTTAATCTTAAATCAGGCCACAGTGTCTTGTTATGACAGGTGCTCCCAACTCCCGCCCAGCTTTACTTCATCTTGTTCATGATTTCACAAAAAATGTTGGTTTGATGATCTGTGGTCATGTACATATGGTAAGTGTTAATTTGTTTTTTCCTATATTGAAGCATTTTTCACTCTGTGCATATAATTTATAATAAAGGGAACGTTCTAAATCTGAAATAATTTGACAAGATAAAAAGTCTGTTGGTTTTCTTTTTGAAGACAGAATTATTTACCTCAACTGTATCAAATTTTTTTTTTAATTTAGAGTTGTTGATCTTTTGTTTTTCTTACGAGTAGATTTTAGCAAACTGTATTGCCTTTGTAGGATGGTTTGGCTATGAGAAACGATTTGTTGATAACTAAGGGTCCTAGATGAAATTCAGTGTGTTGGTTTTTCTTATTGATATTTCTCATAAAGTCCCAGGAATACTGGGAACATTTACTTATGGGGTGGGAAACTGGTAGGAGGAGGTGGGTAAAACCTGATAAGTATCTAGAAAGGGAAGTAATATTTCCAGTATGTAGGAAAGCAGGTAAATCCTGAATTTCCAAGTTCAAACACTGACAATTTAATTGCCCTTTCAGTTTTTTGTTTGTTTCAAATCTAAAGTCAGAAAATATTTTGAATTGTGATAAAACCTTCATCTTTTACTAAAAAATAGTTTTCATTTTTTTGGCATGTTTGCTGTTGAGAACAGTCACTAGATGATAGATCACCTGTTACTGCATAAGAAATTTTGTTGTTAAACTTTAGCTTTTCTCCTAAGCTCTGTTGTTCATCTTGTTTTGGTGCTAGAAATGTGTGCTATATGCCCCACGCCCCGGCCTCTGCTAGTTTGCTCTTCTGCTGGAATATTGACAAAGGCAAGGCTCTGCATGGGTGTAGGTAGAAACTGGTGGAAGGCAGAGTAAGACACTTATCCCACCTGGGACCTGTGGAGTTTTCCAGTTTTTCTCCAAGCTGATAAGTTGGAGTCTTGAACACAAGAAATTACAAACGTGGAGAAATTTCCCTCTGAGGAAAGATAAATTTTATTTTTCTCTTTTCTTATTCATGTTTAGAGATGCTCTTAAACTTTAGTTTTTTGTTTTATACATTTGTATATAATACATTTTGTGTGTTGCTTGCATTGATTAAAATAGAATTGCAAGTTACAAAGCTTCTATTTTTTCTTTAACAGAATTGTGAGGCAACAAAATGCTTTTATGTTATATAACTTATTTTGAATTTCCATGATGTTTTTAAGTTATTTCGTTGCTGTTGGTTCGCTCTGAGTTGGAATCGACTTGAAGGCAATGGACTTTTTGTTTTTGAGAAATGATAATTCAGACATTTGGGGAAAATAAAAAAACAAGCTAGGAGACTTTCTGTAGAAAAACAAAAAGGTTTTATATTACTCTGAGCAATCTCTTCTCCATCTTCAGTAATTCCTAGTTTCTCTCATTTATGTAGTATCTAACTTTTAATTGATTTTTAAGTCTGTCTGTCTTCCTTTTCTTTCTCCCTTCTACTAGCACCCCCTATTGCCTTAACTGCACCATCACCCATATCTTTACATAGTCTTAAGGATTAGAAAGAATTCCCTGAGACAGAAATGAAATGCTGTTATTATATTTCTCCCTCCCTCCACATTTAGGCACCTTATTACAAGCCAGTATAACAGGATAATTTTTCTATATATGAGATATATTACCTTTTAATTAAAGATACCATTTATATTTTTATTTAAAGGGCCCTCGAAGACAAGCCATGAAAGAGATGTCCATTGATCAAGCCAAATATCAGCGATGGCTTATTAAAAACAAAATGAAAGCTTTTTATGCTCCAGTACATGCAGATGACTTGAGAGAAGGCGTGCAGTATTTGATGCAGGTAAATGTGTTATGTATTTCACATGCCTTTATTTTAACTTTGTATAAACATTTAAAAACTTTTTCATTCTAGGTTTTATTGTTCCTATTGACACAAGAAGAAGTTTTGTTTAATATCTTTTATTAAAATACACTACTAAGATTTGTATAATTTGAACGCTAAGGGACCAGAGAAACAATGTACTGATGGCTAAGGCAAAGAACCTATTTGTGAATTGTCCTAGCCTTTTGCTCTCCTTTTCACAGATAGTTCCCGGTTCACTATTTTTTTGTAAGACTGTTAAGTAATGACAGTCTTTATTCTTAATTTTTTTTAAATTCTTGTTCCTTGTATTTCTCACAGTATGTTTGCTAGTACTAAATTTAGACTTCAGTTTTATGTATAGTATAGTAGCCAGAATGTGGGATTTGGAATCAGACCTAGGTTTAAATGGCTAGCATTGCTATTTATTGTGAATTTTTTGACTGAACAAGTTACGTAACCCCTCTGAACCTCCGTTTCCTCAGCCCTAACGGTTATAGGGAAAAACAAATACATTGAGACAGTCCGTCTTATTTTTACAGGAACCCCTTTCTTCAAAAGAAAATTTAACCAAGAGTCCATTCAGTGTGTTAAGGTACTGCTGAGTTAAAAGAGGTTTGAAGCCTTGTCTTCCTAGTTACTAGTTAAAATCACAAGCTTTTATTAATCATTAAACCAGCATTTAACTATCCAGTCTCTACAACAGTACTTAAGGTTCATTCTTTTAGAAAGGCACTCTTATCAATAGTTTGCTTAAGGAGCCCTTTGGCAGTGGACCTTAGCATAGCTAACTTCTTTATTTTGTGTATTCGAATTTCTCTTTTTCTTTTTTTTCAAAGCAGGAGCCACTTGTCAACCCAATTTTAAAACTTCATGTTAAGTAGCAAAAATCCATTTTCTTACTGAAAATTTTAGGCTACACCATGATGGTGGCCCTTTAAATCAAGCAGATCTCCTTCTGGAATCTCAGTGTAGGCAGAACTCTACCTTTTTCCCTGGGAGAAGATAGCCTAGAATTATCTTGTGTACTGAGTTTTTCTTACACCTTTTCCCTTCTTCATAAGCCATATTTGAAGTAAAAACAGTGATTTTTAAAAAAATTGTTATTAAAATGGTGGGTAGACCAAAACAACCTAAAATTGCCACTAAAAGTATTTGAAATATAAATTTTTATCCACTTTTGGTAATTGCAAATCTTGTCCTAAATATAAATTCAGCCGAGATACTAACTAATGATAATTTGAGGTCATCACTATTAGCTGAACGTTTCAAAATCACCCAGAATGTTTAGCCAAAATTCTAATAATTATTTCAGTGATTTTTAAAGGAATGCAGATCTCATGCCAAAACTTAATTATTTAAGTAGATAACCATAATGTTTGGAAATCTTTTTACTTAATGGCAAAAACAAGAACAAAAAGCTTCATACCACTGGGAAACACTTGTTCTTCTTGCTGTGGTAAAAAAAAATGGTTTAATAATATATCAAAAGAAAATATGATAACAAACTAAATGCATACCTTAACTGCAAATTTCGGTGAGAGATGTATAGAAAAAATTGCTAAAGATTTGAAGAAACAAGTATCAGGGCTTAGTGGGAATGTTTGATTGAAATTGGAGATATTTGTAATATGCTTAGAATTATGTTATCTTGCTAAATTGATTTCAGTTATGGAAATCTATGAATAACTGCTTTTCCTTGAGCCACTAAAAAAATAGGTTTCAGAGAAGATATGTTTTCAGTAAAAAATTACTTCTTTAGACTGAATTGCTGGGCGGAGGGCTGTGGGGACCATGGTCTCGGGGAACATCTAGCTCAATTGGCATGACACAGTTTATAAAGACATTGTTCTACATTCTACCTTGGTAAGTAGCATCTGGGGTCTTTAAAGCCTGTGAGCAGCCATCTAAGATACTCCACTGGTCTCACCCCTAGGGAGCAAGGGAGAATGAAGAGAATGTGATACAAGGAAAAAATTAGTCCAAAGGACTAATGGACCACAGCTACCACAGCCTCCACCAGACTGAGTCCAGTACAGCTAGATGGTGCCCGGCTACCACCACTGACTGCTCTGAC